TCACCACGTTTTTTAGTAGTTGCGCCGTAGCATGAGTACACAAGTACTTTAAGTATTGCATACATGCAACATGCTATATACATTATATACATGTGCATATATATATATATAAATATATATAAATAAATATATATATATATATATATGTTTCAGGTTAGTATTTATGCTTTTATGAATAATATGTATCCCTATTTAGTGCACAAACTTAACTAATTACAAAATATTTGAGGACTTTTTTTCCAATTTGTCCCTTGGTTGACAAACATTTTATCTAAGAGCCATCTGCAGCAACTGCATGACGACGATATTTGGGAAAAGAATCCCACAAAAAGTAACTGTTCATTTTAATCTGAATTACACTCAGCACCGAACTTTGACTCAAAATAAGCACTTACCTTTCTCATAAGCGTAAGTGTTTTTTGATTTTGCCCTAATACTATGATTTTGTTTGTTTGGACGTGCTTATATGATTTACTGCTGCAGATATTGCCATTCGATCTTCTTGGAGGAAACTGAAGTGTAACTTCTTCGACCTTAGACTCAGAACAGTCAAATCCTGTGATTTTGAGGGGTCAGGACTTGATTCGTGCGACAACAAAAACTCAAATTATCAGACCTGCGTTTTGGAATTGTTTCAAAGCCAAATTTACAATTTTGCACTGTTGATCAGTTTTTGTGTCATGCAATGAAATCTATCCACAACTTCGTAAAGGTGATTGAATAATTATTTGGCCTATATCTCAGCTTAGGTGAGCCCACTGATGTATTTAGGCAATTTTTCAATCCCTTTGTACAAGTTTGGCGACAAACTGTCGACACCATAGTAAGAAAAGGCTTGTTTATTGCGGTGTGGGAGCGAGTCAGCGACTATACACGTGTTCCAGGGCCTCTAACCATTGTGCCATACGCTCTCCTTAGTCTTTGTGCCATAATAAATCGAAATTATCTTCAAAGAATCGTGCTTCAGCAAACTGGCTGCCGTTTTGCTTGACATTCTTTGATGACAGGTCCGCTGTTTCAAATGAACGATGTGCCGTCGCCTTAACACATTGTTGGCCTTGCGGCTACTGTTGATAGGCCTCATCGTAGCGCTAATTCGCAAATGTCACGAAGTGATTTATACCGGAACATTCTTCAGTTCTGCAGCGTACGTCATTTTTGATGTAGATCTTAACTCAACATAATGTAAATAGATCTAGATGAGTTGTACTTCATTTTAATTTTATCAATTTTTAAGTGATAATACACGGCTTGGCTCAAACGTAAAGCAGATTTTGGAAAGACGGGTTGCATTCATTAATTTACTCTCTTTATCATTTATACGGCTGTTTTTACATATCTCTTAGAGCATAGCAGTTCTCAGAGCTTTCATTATGCTGATTGTCTTTGTTTGCACCCATTATTTACAAGGGTCTTCGGATTTGCGTGCTTCGCGTGAGAACTAGGCCTAAGTCATAAATGTCGCTGATTCTATTGAAAAACATGAGATAACCCTATATAATCTGATAACGTATTTTAAGCCTTACATGAGGTCTGTTGCCGGACTTCTAAAGTGCAAGATACGTGTTTCGACCTTTCAGCCTCATTAGTCGCACGGTGCTTTTCGTTTGAGCCAATACCTTGTAAAGGGATATACCCTCTACATATAAAATAATTGGCGAATTTGAAGGTATTATTCAATAAAAGTCATGAGGAATTGACTGTACCCCTACAATGCTATGTGGTTTTATCACTGGACATGCAGTGATTTGTTATTTCTGCAATGTGAAGTGATTTTTTCACCTTACGCGACGGGATATTTAGTATGTGCCCTTGAAAGGTGGAGCACAGGTTATCCCGCTCCAAATCCAGAGTTTTGCATAGCACTCAACATTATTGGATGTATCTATTGATGTATTGGATTTAGGTAAGGCTAAAGATTCTCTAAGTCACTCAAACGATCCTTACACTTTGTCGCTGCTTGAAACATCAAATCATTCCGAACTGCACGAACAAGAACGACCACACGAATTGTGAGCCATATCAAGGAACTACCACTAAATACTGAATATCGAAATGTGATTGATCGGAGCTCCTCTTCAATGCAAGCAGGGCAATATGTATGCACAGGTGCAGAAGTGCACGTCAAAGAAATCTCATTGTAATCCAATGAATGGCGTATCCTTTGGAGGGGAATAGTAAGCTGAAGAATGCGAAATTGCCGAATTAGTCATTAATTTTGTACGCTAACGTGTCAGATAAATTTCTTAGTTACCAACCTCATATCTGTTCATCAGGAAACCTGGTCACTTTTTAATCATTGACAAAATATCCGTCTTAGAACGGCTTTCCTTTTCATACACTCATGCTGGCTCATGCTGATTTATAAACGTTATCGTGTGGTTTATAGCTCATCATCGCCGCTGGCGTTAATTCCGTTGATCGAATGGAATGTGATCGATGTTGAGGCACCGCCACTCATCAACGATTGGCTTGCCGAGCGACTACGATTAAATGAATTGCTGGCGGTACAACAGTACAAGTAAGGGTTGCTTCGACGATTTCTCACTTTTTCCTAGAAACGCGCTAAAGACGTTATGCTATGGTTTCACAATTTCATTTTATTACTGCTTGTTTTCCTGCACTCAGTTCACTTTTCCACTTCTTCCTTTCTTTTACTTAATCACTAAGTCCGTGCTAAGTCAAGGCATTCCATTTGTACCTAATTACAAAGTGAATGCTCTTTTTACTATTGTATATCTAATTATATTTTGGCCGGAGCTTGGCCAGACAAAGCCTAGGTCATACATTACCGCTACACTTTCCTTTTATAGCAGCTCCGTTCATGCCATCAGTGATTTAGATGCAATCAGAGTCTACATTATGGTGACGCATCCGAATTATTTACGGTATGTGGGGAAAGCGGACCGATTGAGTAAGTTACTTGGATGAACTATCAACTAGAAGAAATACATTACAGATAAGTTTGTAACGCTTTTTAAGTCGAGTGTTGATTGTTACCGGAAATCGTGTATCACTGGGTAAGTTTGAACGAGATATAAAGGCAGAAAAGTGGACGGTTTTTCTTACCGGAAGGAAGTGATCTTATTGAGCACTTGGGAGGTATGCAACGTTCAAGTATTTTCTTTCTGTCAATCAATAGGAAGACAACTTAAGTCTTTGAGCAATTAATATCCCGTTGCTCTTACAATCTAATCCTAGGTGACGTCGAGGTACACTATTTTACCGAACTCAGCGAATGGAATCGCTGGATGACATGGGACATTGAGTATGCTATTCGTGGTAGGACCTATGACATTGCTAGATTGGATCTTTATGCTTCCCAATTCCGGAGCTTCGATCAACCTCATGTCGTTCGCCAATTAGTAGAGTTAGGTTTATGTTTTTGTTGCTCGTAATGTGACATTATTCACAAATTTTTTTCAAGTTGCCACCCTCTCATAGCAATGTGTGCACTCTTTTATACATATGTTCCTGTCAGAATGGCATTCTGAAACCACTTGTTACAAAGCTCCTTAAGCTCTTTTGTTCCTCTTTTCTTGTTCTGTGAACCGAAAAAGTAAAAGCTACATCATCAAGAAAATAGTCAGCCGCGTCATCTTTGATTACTGATTATCTAATAATTATTGACTTCAATACGATCACTAGCCATGCTGTAATTGGTTCGTCATAAAGGGGCTAGTCATGCTCATTTCAGAATACGACAGCGCATTACTTAGCATTGACTATAAATCGTGGAATCAGTTGCCAGTTACGATGCTACTCGTGTGATTGGCGAATGGTTAGTTTTGAAAGACACTGAGTTGTACTTGAAAAATCAGCTAAGAAAAAGCGAAAACGTTATTTCAGTACCTTTTGAAACTTTCACCTTATCTCCATCCTCTTTCGGCCTCATTAGCAAAAACGTGTTCCCTCCTTTTTTTCAAAAATTGAGTAGTACTCGAGAATTCTAGTATTTTCACCGCTTTTTCGCAGTGTTACGATGCTTCACATGTACGAATTGAGTGGTGAGCAAAAACACAGGCGAATGTGCCTCAGTGGTGTAGTAATACCAGGCGTCCCCGGTATGGATGAAACGCGGATGCGACTCCCACCTGGGCGGTGTTTTGCTCAGCACCCAATTCGCTTAGGTTTCAGTAGTAATTTGATAGCTCAAATCACGAGAATTATAACAGTTTACTTTATTTTTGTAACTGATTGCTTACTGCGTTATTGAAGTGAACATAAAATTTCGTTTCACATTCAAGCATTTTTTGACAGGCAAGCTTGGTGCCATTGTCGTGCGGCGCGAAACCTAACTCTCTTTTGGCAACTAGAGCGCACTAAGACATTCTTTCGAAAATCAAAGGCGCTATCAGAATATTTGAAATTTGTTGTGTCGAATGGTTACTAACAGTCTGGCGAAAAGCCCTGTCCTCGAGCAAAGCTCGTGAAGAAACATAATAATATTCTTAGTGTTGCAATGCATCAAAGATCCGTTTCAAAAATAAAGCACATTTTCGAAATTTCCCAGAGCTAAGCTATCAATGATTACCAAAAACTCTAGAAGAAATCAGAAAACACGTTCTCCTCAAGGGGTCGAAAGTCGAAACAGTGTGCGGATAAGGGAAATAATTCAACATTAATAGTATTTTTTTCAATGCATTTCGCATTGTTATGATGTGTTCTATGTACCTAAGAGAATCATTCTTTTTTGGAATTATATTAAATGTTTTTTTCGGGGTTTCAAAAACAGTCGATCTTTTGATTTAGTTTTGATCTAACAGCAAAAATCCATCGACTGAGGGGTGGTGATGGACCAGTGTCATTGTACACTGTTCCATCACCACATACGCCTCCCTCCTTGCTTCAATGCAGGGCTGAATGTGGGGCGGGGGTCACTGACGAGGAGGACGTACCTCCGAAACACCGGTGTATGACCCTGGCGTAACAACCTCGTTTTTCAGTTTAAATCATTCTTTTTTGGAATTATAAGAGAATTGAGTGGTGAGCAAAAACGCGGTCTTAGGCGCGAATCGAACCCACGTTTCATCCAATCCGGGGACGCGTGCTCTACCACTACACCACTGAGGAACATTTGCCCGACCACTCATTCTTCAACATCTCAATGTTAGCTATCAGCCACCAACCTTTGACAGGTTTGGTCGGGTATGCGATTTCGCTTTATAAACCCAGTTGAGCTGACAGCTATTCTAATTACTAATACTCTTACTTTTTACTAAATGCTAACCACTCAATTCTCTTAGGTACATGGAAATAATTCAAATTGCGAAACCAATCTTCATTTGAGTGTTACAGCACAATGAGGGGTCCTTTTTAATAACCACGTACATTATTGAATTTGCCCAATTTTGTGCTCTCGAGTGGTTATTAAAACTTTGAAGGAGAAACTTGTCCAACGAAAATTGCCTAAGTGTAAAATAAAATCCATTTTTACTGTCAGAGCGCAACAAAAAGGCTGTTTGGAAAAAAAGTTAAGTTAAGTTTTTAGTTTAGTTTTAGTTTTTTTTAGTTAAAATTAAATCCTCTCGTACGCTATCAAACAATCACTAATACTTCGAGCAGTAGCAAAAGACACGCTTCACTAAAAAGGTGGAACAGGGTGGAGTTTATGTAAAAGTATTTGCACTTCTCTATAAGTGAATAAATGCAAATTTATTTAAGTTCCTATTATTTTGTGCTGTAAAGTGCTATAAAGTGCAAGAGTATCTAAGCGACATAATGTCTAAAAATACTGGTTAATTTACAATTTATGAAACAATTCGCCAGGTACCAATTACTTTATTGGCTGTTCTTCTCTAAAGGATACGCATTGATCGGTGCCACATCCTCGGGTTTTTGTGGATATAGGAACCAAAATTGCAAGTATCAAGTCAGTTTGAAGCGCTTGGACTCCAATGAACTCCTTTCTCGAGCAATAGCTCCCGTCTTTGGCCTAGGTGAGTGAGATCTACCTTATCCTGATGCATACTACCGATGAACAGTCTATTCTATTTACTTTGACTTTTCATGCATCTTACAAAGAAGTTTGCTGTTCTACTACTTCTGTAACCATATACTTCATTGACTCGAATTTTGGTCCATTAAGGATCACCGAAGGAAGAACGGAATCGTCTTACCAATTACTTGCGAACACATTCCGAATGTCATATTTTATCTAGAAGAAATTTACCTTTCTATTGCTCAGAAGATTTCGATCAAAATAGTAACGTGCTATTAATAAGGTGATCTTTAATTTCTTTATTGTGGAACAAATCGCTTGTATTATGTGATTTCGCCTATCACTCACATACGCGAGAGGGTATTAGTAATTTCTATGCGTTCCTGGTACACAAGATCTAGCTTCATAATCTATAGCAACCATGGCTAACTCGTTGGATTTACTTGTGAGATCGCAGGAATATTTCTAGCTGTCGAAATAATCGCTTTTGAAGGGAAGACCATGTATTACAATTCCATGCTGCGCAATGTATCCAAAAGCAGCGCGGAATCTATTGAGATCTCATAGGATAGAGAGGTTTAGAGTGAATCAACAATTAAAAGTTCATGCAAGGTATCTATATTCTAGTACAGTTTTCATTCAGACGGCAAATTAATTCAAAGATTAGACATCTAGGCACTAAAATAATTACGCTCTCTCTATCTTTGTCATTAGCAACCAATTATCAGTTTCAGCTATCGAGACCTGAGTGCGGACGACATTCCGTTGTCATTCTATCATTTGCCCAACTTTCATGTAATCACACCGATTAAATCCTCCGAAAGGTAAATTTAGAGAGGCGTTATATTCAAATTACGAAGCGGTTCTACCTGCTTGTTTTTTGTACATTCTTTAACTCGGTAAACTGATCAAACTCAAAAAAAAACAGATATAGTTTGAGATTCATAGTAGTCACAGAAGCAGTATCATATCGATTTTGATAATTTTGTTTCTATTTAAGCCTGGGAACAAATGTTCATCGCGTCGGCATTGGATCAGCCTATATGAACGAAACCGTAGATGGCGAATGGAAATTAAGCACTCTCGGTAGGCAACCACTTCACCAGAATTACCAAGATGGTACTTACAAAAAAAATGCCGTCACTGATCTTCTACGATTGCAACATTTAAGTGTCATTCAACCTTTTGAACAGTTTGCCTGTAATTCATCGGTGTATTATCTGCCCTCACGTTGATCGTTGAGTGGCTCGCACCAGTAACATTTCATTCATACCAATCAAGTGCAAGATAAGTCTAGTAGGTTCTCTTTGATCTAGAAATTCGTTGAGCAGCATAACTTTTTTAAGCTTTTCTTATAGAAATCGGGTCATCGAGTCGGGTGTCTTTCCGTTGTATGTTTGACATCGCAAGGGAATCCTGCGGTAATGACTCTCGTCCACTTGAAACGCCTTACTTTTCAGAATGCTAGATCTTACAGAACCTACAGATTTCATCCTATTATGTAGCGATCAAATTTCTGGTACATATTCTGAGATAACAGCGCATGCGGCGCAGTGGTTAGTGGTGCTCTGCGTCGCACACGTCGCGAGGTCAATGGTTCGATCTCACGCTAATGGCTCACCAAGCCATCCGGCCCTCTGGGGTCAGGAAATTGGTACGAGAATGGTCTCAGACTTGTCTGGGAGGATAAGCAGCACTGACTCGGTACAGCAGGAGGCCAACGCGAGTCATTGTAGAGGCCAGATATGCATTGAATCACCTCAAACGAAGTTAATAATGAAGGCGAATGCATGGTGCACCCTTTATGGATTGATCAACGCCGAGAGCTCTATCCTTTATCTTTATATTCTGAGGTTGTGACAAACCTTAGCGGTTAATTGTTAACTCTCAAGTTGGGTAGAATGCCGGGTGTTCTTTGTTTTATTCACAACATCCTCGCTATTTTTGAATGCTCTCCAACGTTTCGCTTCCTTATGTTCAGCTCTGGAGCTAAGTTTGTGCACATATTGACTATTCGACCTAGACAGATGTAATTGGAGTTTTCGGGAATATTAATTCCATTGAACGTGACTGGGGCATCAAAAATCGGCTTGTTCTATATGGGCATCATTTTCATGAGGTGTCATTGCTTCGCTAATATTCATTAAATAATATCAATAACACCTCGGAACGGCTGAACAAAGGAAAATACTTATTTATTCAAACAATGCCGAGGTTAATAGATTGTCAGTCCTGGGAGTTTCATGAGAATCAGACGGAGACCTACTATTCACAAATCCTATTGTGAAAGATTAACATTCGCTTCGCTCGGCTCCTTCTGGTATTATAAGAATGATGTCGTCCTCGAAATGAAAATGATGCATGTGTTGACTATAGATTCTCACTCCTATGATGTCCCATTCTGATGTTGGCATGACGTTTTGGAGGATGACAGCAGATAATTTTGCCGAAATTGCGTCGCCTTGCGGAACTTCTTTTTTACTTTGATAGCAACATCGTTATAGAAAGGTGAATTTTTTCAAAGTCTTCATAATCATTGTGTGCTAGATAGGGGCTCCTTGGCTTTCCAGTATGGCTGTCTTTGGTGGAAAAATCAAAGGCCTTCATCAAATCGATGAAAATTAGGCAGAGCGGTTTCTTGTACTCTCTTGAAACTCCAATGAGTCTTATTATATTGTGGATATGTTAGAACACTTGCGAAACCCTACTTGTTCGCAAGGATGTCGTTCGTCCAGTGTTCTATCAATGGATTTAAGGTGACTTGAGTGAAGAATTTGTAAACGACTACCAGCATGCAGGTTAAACGATAGTTGCTGATTCTACGACGGTTCCCTTTTGGAACAAGTATAAGGTCTGGCTGAATTTCCATTGTTACACCCTCTCGTGTGACAGATAATTTGTGAACCAAGTCAGTGTATTGATGACTAGCGGAAGGTTTTTCAGATGTTCAACACATGTATGGAGTAGGTGTTGTTCAGCTCCTTACCAACGAAATAGCACGTCGGATTTCGAATTATTTTCCTTTTTCTTGCTAAACTATATCCTCTTATTACCATTGACCTATCGTTTTATGGTTGCCTAAGGTGTATTTACAAGCGAACTGAGTTGCATTCCACAATGACTGATTCATCAGTTCAGTTAGGCCATCCTAGCTGGGAAGGGTTTTGCCTTGAAAAGAAACGTAGTAATTTTCTTTTTGTTCCTCACATGCTTACGTTACTCTCAACAATTAGCATGAATGCATCCCTAAAAGAAAAGAAATAAAGCGGGTGTTAGCGCTATCGTGCAGTTAATCCATACCCTTGGACCCGAGAACGAAGTATCGAGGAATCAGTAAGCCATATGGAGCAAAAAAATATCTCACAATTATCACTTGAGCCAACACGTCATGTGGTCTATTATTGGGCTTTTGTGCAACCCGATACACGTGTTTTGGCCTTGACAGCCTCGTCAGTCGAGCAGGCCCTTTGTCTTTAGCTAGCCCACCGAGGAAGGGGGAGGGTGGGAGAATCTCCTAGCCTCCTACTGAAAGTAAACGGCGACGAATCATTCACAGAACTGCCATCAAGGAAAATAATAAATATGAGATATGCTGAAATATGAGCGTGGTCTTAAGAAAATACTCGGAACAAACGGCAAAAAATTATTTTTGTCTCCTCATAAATTTTTAGTCTCTACAGAAGACTTGTTGAGTGACATCTACCACAATTCAATTGTTGATTTGCTACTAATGGATATGAATGGTGGGGAAGTGGATGTTTACGAGGAATTGCTTCGATTGGCCAAAGGGTCTCGTTTTCGCCAACTTGCTCTCCGCGGACAGTAAGTCGTCGTTACAGTATCTGATCCGTAGCAAGACTAGCGACTTCCTAGTAATTTTCAGCATATGGTCCGAAGAGAATGAAAATTTCCGTTGGATTTACTGGAATCTACGACAAATGAAAAACTACAACTACACTATGCGATTTGCTAATGTCAATCTACCTCGTTATGATCTAGTGTTTGAGAAAAAATAATTACATTTGAAACAAAAAAAAGTGTGCAAAAGTGTTCAAAAAATTAAATAGCCAATAATGATTATTTCTGTTATAAAAGGACAAATAAAAATATCAGACCCTATTCGCTGGACGGGAG